AGATCCGGTTTCCAGGTTTCACTGTGGTAAAGCCTGTGAACTCTTGTTAAGCTAGAGTAGGCTCGTCGAGCTACCATGATAAAACCTGTCAACCCTTGTGAGCTCATGAAATAGCTCTCTGGTTAGTAGCAAAGTGCAAAATGCCCCCCCCCCCCCCGTCGGCGAACTGCGCCGAGACAACTAGAGGGGATAAATTAGTTGGAGGGGGCTCGTCGATCCTCCGTGCTTCTGCTCACCCGATCTCCATTGACTCCAGACAGGGGGCAGCAGAGTCGAAACAATGGTGTCAGACGACCCAGCCCCAAATTTCTTGTTCCGGTGCGACCCTCTTGTCCCATCCTACCTAAAACCTCTCCTAGCTTTCCCTACTTTCTAGCCTTCCATTTTCCGTACTTTATGGGAACTTTTCCGTCTCTCCTTCTAAAAGCTGCCCCCGAAAAGGGGACAGATGGGAGGGTGGGGGAAGAGGTTGCGTCAAACGGCTGCTGATTACAACCCATTAAAAACGGTAGTTCTGACGGCGGACCTCACCCCCTCCCAAATGAGATTCTCCTATCGATGTTCTCGATCATGACTTTCATCTAAAACTTTTCCACATCTTGCATACTATATGGGCAGGCAAGACATCGGCGCCAACAACCATGAGGTGGGGGAGGAGGGAGGGGGTGTTATTTGGGTGAACGGTGGCTGACGTCATCTGAATCGGTTCAGCAGCTTAGGAGCTCCTTCCTCCTAAAGCATAGACGACACTCCTACTCTTCATTGAAGGCATATGGCACGATAAGTTGGTACTAGCTCTAAAATGCAAGCAGCGTGCTATATAGTGGGAATAGGGTGGATAGGGCCTCATAAAGCTACCTTCCTTAGAAAAAGCGCTACGGCAGCATACCTGTCAGGCCTCGGATTCCGTCCTGCCATGCGTATTAATCCTTCTCGTCTTAGGGATTTATCGTGCCACTTCCTTCGGGTGTATCCCACTTTTACGTAAGGAGTCCTTTGAATACCCCCTCTACAAGATATTGATTGACAGTATCGTGAAGAGAAAGGTTTTGAATTGGACTCTTTCAGCTATTTCGGTTCAACATTTGTCCTCTATGGGATCTGCTTACCTGCCAATGATTGTGTACGGCATTGGATGATTGGGATGAGCAGAATAAAATCTATCGACAAGCTGGGCGATTGTTCCTTATGACCTAGGTTAAAACGACTGTCTACTCACTGATATGTTGTCGATGACAAGTTAGGGTGTTTCAGGAAAATTATCGAACTGATGACGAATACGAGGACTTTTTGATAAGTAAAATAGTCATTTTTCAATTTGTCACCGCATTTGGATCGCTTTTCTACATCGCGTTCTATTTGAAGGACATGAAAAGACTACAAGAGGTAAAGTCCTGAATCTTTTATTCATACAGTTTATTGATTAGGTTACCGCAGATTACGGTTGAACATGGCACAGTTGGAAGGGGGTTGGTAGCGCGTGGTTTCGGTGAGGTATACATATAACAATTATTGAGGGTTACTCAGTTGCTTCAAGCCTCTCATTACCAGTAAAATCCATCCCCACCACATTCCACTTTCAGTTAAGTTCATCAGTTTCCAATTCTATCTGCCAACAGCCGCTCAGCTACAGGAACCCCTTGCCACACTGTATGCCTCACTAGGCGCAGTTCGACGACGGGGGAGGTGACATTTTGCACTTTTGATACTTCCCCTTGACGTGTGGACCCATCTAGACAGCCTCCTCTCAGGTTTACCATGATGGCTTGATTTGCTCCAGCTCCACAAGAGTTGACAGGTTTCACCAGAGTGAGACTTGTAAACCGGAACTAGTGAAGCAAGGAAAATGCAAAATGCCGAACTGCCCCCCCCTCACCTATTCCGCTTCCTCCAACTTGTGTTGCACACTGATTGATTTCGCAAATCGCTGTATAGACCAGGTACGGATTGAAATGCCACTGCAGTACTGAATTGGAGTCCAAAACGGGGCGCTGACCAAGAGATTTCTGCTAAGAAATTGAGCTGCTACACAAAAGTTCAACCATTGCAAAAAAAAGAATGAAAACAGGGCGTCTTATAACTCTTGCAGGCACATTCCATGTTGAGCGTATGGGCGGAGTAATGTATAGCATTGCACGGTACTCAACGGTGTGCTGTCTTCCTTAGTATTTTTAAAACGAGGGGTGCACCAGTAAATAGTTACAAGCCCAAATCCGCCTATTCGACCAGCGTGCGCTCCCATACAGGTATTACAGGGATTTTCAGCCTAATAAATGTTTTCCTATCCATCAGTATTTCACCTACAGGTTTCAGATTGAAAGGAGACCACTTTCAGACACTTGCAACACTTCTGATCACCCGTCAGATTACGCAGAACGTCATGGAGACGGCTGTCCCTTTTCTCATGGAGAAGGTGAAACTCAGCCGACTCGCCTACAGAATGACCAAGTCAGTTATTCCTGGCCAGTCTTTGCTTTTCTAAAATTCCGAGTTGATGATGGGTGCTGTTATTTCGTCGCGTGCGACTATGCGGTAGAGCTCATCGTTTAGGCTGGAACCCTTTTGCAGCCCCTTTTTGAAGTTCGGGTTAGAACTTGGAC